TCCGTGGGCTAGTGCTTGAATTTTTTAATTGCACACCCCTAATTTCGTCTTGTGCAAAACGTCTTGTATAAAACGACCTACATGCTCTCAAGGTGAATATTAGTTTTTTATGAAATTATTTAAATAATTTCTATGTTAATTACTTTGAGAGGAAAAAATGCTACTGAAAGTTCAATATTGCTAGTAAAGAAAAATTCCACCAGCTAAAATTTGCTAGTGGTTAAAAAAGTTCATTTCAATCCGGGGGGGGGGGGGGGGGGCAAACAGCTTCAAAATGAAAATTTACATATGGTAAAACCAACCATATCAAATATTTTTTTCTTGAGAAAAGTGGGGGGGGGGGGGGCTGCATACATGTACTAGTCAGGCCTGTATAATAAGAAACGACATATATGGACGTGGCCATGATGACTTTTCACAATATTGTGTATTACATGTAGATGCAGGGCAACTGAAAATATACAAAACCAGAAAAGCTAACAAAAGTTTACAAAAGATGAAAAAAAATGCATTCATTGAATGCATTTATTGTTTTTTTTTTTAGTGTAACTTGCCCATAAACGATACGTTACTACCTTTGTTTTTAATAAATAAAGATTCTTAAGTTTGAGAATCCGGGTAAAAAACAAACTTTATTTAATTTTTTGGAAGTTATCACAGTCATTGAATAGAACATCCCAAGACTGATGTAAACTGATTGTGTCACCCCTTTCCTTGAAAACAAATGGACTGATCCAGTAGTGTAGAACGCAGAAAAAGGTCGCACAGATAGGGCCTTTTGTGAATTGCATTAAATAAACAGTTGCATGCAAGGAAACTAAAAAAAGTAAACACATCAATATTTTTTATCAGTAATATTATTGTTTCTTCTATTGACTTTTTTTGTTAAAACACACATTAGAAATTCCGATGTAAGTCAGCTTGTACAAAATTTAGCTGGCTAGGTTGAACTTTAATTATACCCCGCTCCAAAGGAGAGGGGGTATACCACTTTGCCCTTGTGTGTCTGTGTGTTCGTGTGTCTGTCCGTAACAAATTTTTGTCACTGTTTTCTTGGCTACTACTCATTGCAGTTGCTTGAAATTTTAACACACTCTTTGTTTAGGCATGCCGTATGGTGGGATTCATTTTTGTACAAATCTGTTTCAACTTCCTGTTTTTCCATGCGTCTGTCCGTACAAATTTTTCGTCGCAGTTTTTTTTCTGCAACAACTCATTGCTGATGCTTGAAATTTTAGCACATTCTTTGTCTAGGCATGCCATATGGTGGGATTCATTTTTGTACAAATCTGACGTCAACTTCCTGTTTTGCCGTGTGTCTGTCCAATTTTTTGGATTGATTTTACCAATTTTTCGTCACACTTTTCTCAGTAACTACTCAATGACGGTGCTTGAAATTTTATCACACTCTTTGTTTAGGCATGCCATATGGTGGGATTCATAAGAGCATATATTCACATCAGAACGAGAGTATTACTAGTGAGCATTGGCTCACAGACTTCTTGTTTGAACTTTACGTATGAACAAATATATTAAGAAAATTCTTTAAAAATCTTCTTCTCAAGAACAACAAAGCCATGGTTAGTTATTGATTTGGTAATGTAATTTTATATTTGTTCAAATTCTGACACCCTGGCCCAAGAGCTAAATCAGAGTTTTACATAGGATTAAGGGAAATCAATCTTTAAAAATCTTATTCTCAAGAATAGCAATGTTATGACAAGTCATATTGATATGGAAGCACTCTAAGGTACTAGTGTCATATTCAATTTTATTGAAATATGACCAAGGAAAATAGGCCTGAGTATTGCAGGCTACCTAACAATATGATACATACCATTATACAGTCATGCGATACAACATGTATCATGATACAGCTGTCAACAATTGAATTAATTGTTATCTTTACATATTATTCTTTCCTCGTCTCCACAGTTTTAGAAAACATAAAAAGAATATCTTGATACCCTTAACCAAAGTTAATAAAAGGTGGATTTAGAGTCTTGACATTGCATTTTTTTCTTTCAGTCATTCTAAAACATTAAAATTTGTTAAGTTGTATGTAGAAGTTTCAAACAAAACAAGGAAAATTACCTTGTACTGTATCACGATACATACATTGCGATACGATACATGTATCGTGAGCCCTTGCTATTAATGCGATTGATGTATTGCTGTATTGTTACACCTCTACAGGAAAGGGTGGCACACATCTTTAAAATTATGTTCTCAAGAACGGCAAGGCATATATGATAAGGAACCATCCTCAGATAGTTTAGATTCAGTTTTGTTCAAAACATAAAGTACTTTAATGGATTATAGGTACAAAGGTTTCACACAGAAAATAGCAAAAATAATTAAGAAATTAAAATATATATATATTTCTGCTTTAATTGTTGTTGAATAGTGATGTTCCTAGGATTTGGGACATTTCATACAGATAACTGGAGCAAACTCTTTATATCCATTAGGTTCCTTAAATTTGAAGGAGTCAGAGGGAGCTAATGGTCTTACTCAGTCTGAAGCAGTTGAAGGTATGTATTGTTATATGAATCAGAATTACTATTCATTGATAAGTTAATTACTATTTGTCTTAAATTTGGTCTTATTAGTCCCCACCTGCAAAACTGAAGGGGACTATAGGTTCCTCTGCATCTGTTCATCTTCCTGTCTCTCCCTCTGTCTAACAATCTGTCACACTTAGTTTTCTTTACATTTTTTTCTACATGCATACAGATATTGAGCTGATTTTTGGTTTGTAAGTGTACCTTGATGAGTTACAGATCAGGTTTGCATTTTGATCTGCTTTGATTATTTATGATGAAATTATTGCTTTTTAAGATTTTGAAGGAAACCAGATTAGACTAGCTAGTAGGAGACTAGTATTGCTTATGCAATACTCTCAGAATACGTGTAGTTTTTAGTGATAATTTTAGAAGAAAATGATACATGTACAACCCATGAAATAAATCTAGACAATTTATGCAAAGTATACTTATAAGGTACATTGATTTTGTTGGAATTTCACCTCCTACAGTTTTCAGATTAGAAAGTTTTAAAAATTCATATACAAATCCCAGTATTATTCACACTAAAGAAAATCAGGTTTGCTTTGATATTGATAGCTTTCCTTGTTTTTATTGCTTTGTTTGTAAGAGTCCAACATTTCATGCAGCTTAAATATGTTGTGGTATAGATAACTTACTCCAAAAAACAGCAGTATGCTATTTAATTTTTTGATAATTCAACCCATTGATATTGTCACTTTCTTCAAATTTACAGTCTTCCTATGTGAAATGGCCCAAGATGTCCCAATTGCAGAACTCTTTGATTTATCGAGACAAATTCAGGAGGAAGAAGTAACTGTTGATCCAGAAATGTTGAAAGAGAGTAAAGCCTTGATTTTGAGTAAAGATGTTCAAGAATGTGCACAGCAGTACTTTACTGAAGATGCATGGCTTGTAGCAGAGTGTACCATAAAGATGCTTAAAGGTATTTTTTGCGATTATTATAGTGCTCATGAACCAACAGACAGATTAAATTTTTTATTGTCACAGTTTTTTAGGTCACCTCAGTCACTCAGGTGACCTATTGCTATCCGTTTCCGTCCGTCGTCGTCCGTTGTGCTTTAACTTTTGAACATTTTCAACTTCTTCTCCAAAATCGCTAAACCAATTTCAACCAATTTTGGCATATAGCATCTATGGGAGAAGGGAAACAAAAATTATGAATTTCATGGTCCCTGCCCCCCCTGGGGCCTGAGGGGTGGGGCTAAAACCACGAAAATTGATGCAATCTTAAAAAAAATCTTCTCCTTTACTCCTGGACTCCAAGCAGTCAAACTGTTGGCATGATTGTAATAAGCATTGGGCCCTTTACCAAAATTGTGAAATTCATGGCTTCAGGGTCAGGGGTTCTGGTGTAAGGGCGGGGCTCTAATGATTATATAGTGAAAATACATTAATTCTTGAATATCTTTTTCTCTTCTCCAGGGTATTATTTAAACAAAATATTAAAGTGCATGATTATGAAAAGCAATGATGCCTTTTTTTTAAATTGTGAATTTCATTGCCCCTGATTCAGGGGTTCTGGTGATAGGGCAGGGATTTATTGATTATATAGTGAAAATGCATTAATTCTTTGAAAATCTTCTTTTCTGCTCCTGGGTGTTATTTAAACAAACTAAGTGCATGGTTATGATACACAAGGATGCCTTGTATAAAATTGTCAATTTCATGGCCCCTGGGTCAGGGCTTCTGGTGTTAGGGTGGGGCTCTATTGATTATATAGTGAAAATGCATTAATTCTTTGAAGATCTTCTTCTCAGCTCCAGGGTATTATTTAAACAAACTAAGTGCATGGTTATGATGCACAAGGATGCCTTTTACAAAATTATGAATTTCGTGGCCCTGGGTCAGGGGTTCTGGTGTTAGGGCGGGGCTCTATTGATTATTTTATGATCAAAACACTTGCCAGTTTTTCAAGTTGTGAACATACTAAAACTTGCGCCTTCTCATAAGCAGGCATAGATTTAAGCCAAAGTTTAGTCTCGACGTAGTCTCCACCTTTTTGTGAAATGCAACTTAGCACCATTTTCAGGTTTAGTCACTGATTTAGTCCGGACTGAGTTTATACCTGATTGTAGGCCCTTTTGAGAAACGGGCCCCAGGTGTTCTGCACACTTGTCTAACTCATCATACAACATCACGTAGACAATGTTTATGAAAATCACAAGATCAAAGCTTAATGATAGAAATATTAGAGATAACGAACAAGTCCATTTAAACAATACAAACTGGATTCAGAGCAAACATGGACCTCTTAAACATCAGAGTTTGGATCAGGTGCCATGGAGGAGAGTGAATGATTTTCAATAATCTGCAAGAACATCAAATACAAAACAATGTAATTGTAATTAAACTGTTGGATAATCCATCATTTCTTACCACACGTAAATGAATATTTTCAAATTGATTAATTATTCATTGACAGAAACTGAGATGCCAAGGCAGTCAAATAAAGGAACTTCCACAGGACAGACAAAAGGTAATACACATACATTTATATCCTGCTAATGTTAAATTCCTTATTTATTAAAGTTTAATTGAGATATAAAAAAGGTTGCCCATTGTACATTGACAATAGTGTTTTAGCTCACCTGAGCTGAAAGCTTGTAAGCTTTTCTAATCACATTTTGTCTGTCTGTCTGTCTGTCCCTCTTACACTTTTCACATTATCACTTTCTTCTCCAGAACCACTGGGCCAATTTCAACCAAACTTGTCGCATAGAATCCTTGGGTGAAGGGAATTCCAGTTTGTTCAAATAAAGGGCCACACCCTCATTCAAGAGGATATCATTCAAAAATTGTGAAAATTTGGTTTGTTTTAAAAATTTTCTTCTCAAGAACCACTGGGCCAAAAAAGTTGAAAATTAAAGGAAACCTTTGTTACATAGAGGAGATTCAAGTTTGTTCAAATGATGACCCCCAGGGGTAGGGTGGAGCCACAGTGTTGGATCAAATTTTTACATAGGAAAATTTAGGAAAAAACTTTGCGAATCTAAAGAACAGCAAAGTCATGATTAGTCGTATTGATATGAACGCATCCTCATGTAGTGTAGATTCAAGATTGTTCATATCATGCCCCCCGGTAGCTGCAGAACTTTAACTCTCTGCTTGAGAAAATTTGGACAGACAAAGCAGAGAGCTACTGATCCAAGCGTTGTAAAAACCTTCGATTTACGCCACTGCTTTTTTGTCGCTCACTTCTTTCGAAAGGCTACTCCAACAGTTTAGATTTGTTTGCAATAAATCTTGCCACAAAGAGACTAAACCAAGGACCATTATTTTATTTATTGCTGGATGATTGTGTTAAGTGCTAATGATACTTCTATCTTCCTTTGTTAATAATACAAACTAGTAGAGCTACAGTCTCATCAGAGACTTAAGTTAACTTTTCTGATCAAAGAGTGTCTGGTCTCTATCTGTCACCTAGTGTTGTGGTCAGTAAACTTTTCACATTTTCGACTTTTTGTCAAGAACCACTGAACCAATTTCAACCAAATTTTAGACTGCCTACCCCTCCGCTTTTGGCATATAATTATTCCACTTTTTTTATTATCCTATTGCACCATTAATATGAATTTTACACTTAAAGTGACAGAATCAATAATTGTGTTACTAAGAACATTGAACTACTTGTCTTCTGAGGATCACTCGCATGGTGCAGTAGTTAAAGTGTTTGCTCTATAGTCCTGGAGTAAGAAGTTGATCCTTACCTTGGGGGGTCCAAACCACACTGTGGAGGGGGAGATTGGTCCTTCATATGAGACAGAAAAAACCCGAAGTCACAGTTAAAGCTGGCACAAAAAAGATTTCTCAATGTTCAGATGTCATAAATGCAGAGTATAGCTCTAAATGTCCCGCTCGCTCTGTGTTCGAATCTCGACCGCAACTGACCTAAGTCTATTCAGCACTGAAGTGAAAGTTGTGGGTCCTTCGGATGAGACTTTAAAAACCAAGGCCCTGTGTTATGGCAGGCATTGTCATGATAAAGATCCCTCGCTGCTCAATGCCGAGTAAAGGTCAAAATTTGAAGCCCTTCACTGGGATATGGTGACGTCTCTATATGATTGAAAAATTCTCGAATGGGACGTAAAACAACAATCAATCAATCAATCTATTAATTTCTCTCTATGAGAGAGAAAATTTTTGAAGGGATTTATCAAATAAACAAACATTGACTTGTGCGTTTAAGTAATTGGAAAATTGTACTGTAATGTACAATTAGTGTATTCTTGTGGAGAATTTTAGGAATTTCAAAAGGGAGCTTAGAATTACTCAGATGATTGTTCAGGCCCATGATCATTTTGTAACATAATTTGCTATTTAATTGTCCAACAATCATTTTAATGGTGTAAATTTGTTTACAGAATCCAAGAGGAAATTACCTATTGACCATACTTTACTAAACAAGGTATGTCTTTTTATGAGAAAAGGATAATTTATAATTATAAAGGTTTTTTAATCCTTTTAAGCTCCTTTTAAGCTCACCTGAGCCAAGGATCTTATGAACCTTTTTGATCAAAATTTGTTCTTTGTCTGTCATCATGGTTGTTGTAAATGTTTTACAATTTCATTTTCTACAGGACAGATAGGCCAATTTTAACCAAAGTTGGCACAAAAGTGAAGAAGAATTATATTTGTTAAAACATATAAAATGAGGGGTCTTGGTCACACCTTATGTGGGGAGATAATTTTTTTAAAAAAAAAGTAAAAATGGGGGGAGGATCATTCAAAAATCTTCCCTACTCAGTATGAGTATGAATAGCATGAATATGAAACTTATGTGAGAGTTTCTTAAAATAATGTAGAATGTAATTTGTTCAAATCATGATTTTCCAGATGATTGACCAGGTTAAAGTTTTTGGTCCATGACTAAGTAATTATGAGGCCAGATCCAAACTTGCATGAATGATGCATCAAGGGATGAACATTCTCAAACTTGCTTCAGATGCTGGATTTGAATTATATTATCTGGATGAATGACTGATTTATTTTTTTTTAGATAAGTCCATTCCCCAAGCAACTTCAAGCCCCATCAGATCAAAATTGCATAAATGTTGCATCTTGGGATAATAAGTTTAATGTGGGACTTTCCCTTACTTAAAGACAACACTCATTGAGGCGAGCTCTGTAATCTATGATAACCTATGTTTTATACTTTTACTTGACCAACTGTATTCATTTAAAGATTATTCTAATAAGCTAATGACAGGAATGGATGCTGTTGTTTTACCATAAAAAAATTCTTTGAAAATCAGTGGAATAAAAATTACCTTGTTGATAAAAATAGATTGGAATGAAATATGATTTCATAATTTGATTAATTAATTTTCATAAATTTATGATTAATAAAAATAAACCCATTAAAACATTTTTAGTAAGCATGATTGTTCTGTTTGTGTATTTCTTATTAGTCATATTCATATGGAAGCATATCCTCTTGTAATTTATATTTTGTTCATATCATGACACTTGAGTGTTGAATAGGACCACAAATGATGATCAAAACGGGCCTGGTTCACATTATTTTCATGTACAAAATCTGATGTTGCCATTTTGTTCAGTTTATTAAACACGAATGAATTGTATGCATACTATAACAATCTATCCTTTTCAAGTGGCATATTTCTCAGCACCTTTTATTATTTTGTGATTGTGAAATTCAAAAAAATTAATTCTAGTATTTTATCAGAGGCATTTAATCAGAAAGCAGGAAATTGACACTCTATTTCAGGTAGAAGTCATTTAACAAAACTTTACTCACTTTAAAACCTGTTTTCTGATTGGTTTCTAATAAAAGATCAGATAGAAATTAAAAAGTAGCTTTCTAGCCCATCTTTTAGATGATAATTGTTGTGAAGGGTTTTTATGGAGGAACAATATCACAGTCAAAGCCTTGACATTGTAAAGATGGAGTCGTAATTTAACAGAAGCAAGTTGAATCATTTTAAAATAGTCCAGTCTGTTCACAATTACTTAGACAATTTAGAAATTAATAATTTTTGTAAGTAAACAAAATTTGAATGTACAAAGAAAAATCTGGACTTTTTTATGCATATAACTTTATCTTATATCTATGCCACAAAAAATAAAGATCTATGTACAATGTATTGATAATTAATCTGTGTATTTAGTAGCAAGCAGATAGTCAGTCATGTTTCTGTTCCTGTGCAGGTTCCAGGGCCTAGTCGAGAGAAAATTTCCAAAAAGTTTAATGATCCTGAGTTTGTTCAAATGGAGGATGAGTCTTCTGATGAATCCAGTTTAGAAAGCGAAGATTCTGAAGATATAGAGTCTTTGAAGGGTATCTAAATCTAAATCTAAAATCTAAATAATAGAGATTGGTGTGAATTTGTATGTCTGCCTTTCTATGTAAATATTATTTAATATTTATTTTACCTAGCATGAAAAGTTTATTTTTTACAGGAGAAAATGTTTCAAAAGCAAGAAGAAAGCATACCTGGCTTCCACAAGAGGATAGAGCAATAAAAGATTTTTTCAAAGAGGACATCAATGAATTTTCCAAGTCAGGAAACCAAGGATCACTGCATGGAGGTATTTTATTTGATTTTGTTTCCAAAAGAGAGGGTGGTATACTGTTTTACTCATGTGTGTCTGTCCGTCTGTGTGTGTGTCTGTCTTTTTGACAAATTTTTTGTCATGGTTTTCTCAGCAACTACTCTTTGCAGATGCTTGAAATTTTAGCAAAATCTTTTTATGCCCCACCATAAATATGTCCGGGGCACATAGTATTTGTCATGTATGTCTTCTGTCCTTCTTATTTTTATCAAACTTATATACTGAAACATATTGATGAGAGCAACTGCATCAAAAAATGTTTAACTTGAACTTTCCTGCAATCTTTGTTAAATTTGCATTTTGCTCAGTATCAACGAAACTATTGAAGTATTTTTAAGTAAGCTTATGCACTGATACATAATGTTATGAAAATTTATCAATTATTGTCTTTTTTAATAACCTGAACTTTCCAGTGACCTTTGACTTTATTGTTTATTTTTATAAAGCTCAATTGAAAGATATGTACCACAAACACATTTTATTCTCTCCCAAACAGAGGAGTTACACTGATATTTTTTTCAATATTTCTTTCAATGGAATGTTACTAGGAAATTTTAACTGTATGAAATGTAAAAATACACTATTGGAAATGTTCCCCAGAAACTTTGCAGTAAGAAAACTTCGTAAATTTCTAAAACTTTTCAAAAATTTTATTAAACTGTAAAGATGCATTCTTGTTTTTGGCATGCCATATGATGGGAATTATTTTTGTACAAATCCAATGTTAACTTCTTGTTTATCTGTTTGTCTGTACCAAAGTTCCATTGCAGTTTTCTCAGCAATTACTCATCACAGATGCTTGATGCTTGAAATTTTAGCACACATTTTGTTTCGGCATGTAATGTAGTAGGATTCATTTTTGTAAGAATCCAATGTTGACTTCCTGTTTTTCTCTGCATCTGTCTGTTTCACATGAAAGCATATAATCACATCAACTGTGGGTATTACTAGTGAGCATTGACTCACAAACTTATTGTTTTTCTTTTATCTTAATCATGTGATAATTATACCCCCGCTCCGAAGGAGAGGCGCGTATACTGTTTTACCCTTGTCTGTCTGTCGGTCTGTATGTCTATCCGTAACAAATTTTGGTTGCAGTTTTTTCAGCAACTACTCATTGCAGATGCTTGAAATTTTAGCTTGTTTAGGCATGCCATATGGTGGGAATTTTTTTTTGTATGAATCCGATGTCAACTTCGTATTTATCTGTGCGTGTGTCCGTACCATACATAACAAATTTTGGTCGCAGTTTTCTCAGCAACTACTCATCGCAGATGCTTGAAATTTTAGCACACTCTTTGCTTAGGCCGTATGGTAGGATTTATTTTTGTTTGAATCTGATGTCAACTTCCTGTTTATCCATGTGTCTGAATTTTTGTCAAATTTTTCTCAACAACTACTCTGTCTGTACAATATGTAACAGATTTTCGTTGCAGTTTTCTCAGCAAATACTGGTTGCAGATGCTTGAAATCTTAGCACACTCTTTAGTGAGGCATGCAATATTGTGGGAATCATTTTTGTATGAATCTGATGTCAACTTCATGTTCTTCCCTGTGTCTGTCCATAGCTGAACTAGTGTATATTCACATCAGAGTGTATGTACACATCAGAGCAGGGCTTTACTAGTGAGCATTGGGTAACATACTTCTTGTTAAATCAGTTCAGGTTTCAGATGCTGCATATTTATACTAAGAATGATCAGGTTAATGTTTTCTGAAGCAGGTTAAATTTTTTGGAGGAGTCTCATTTCCAAGTTACTATGAGCCTTACATTGATCAAACTTACAGAGGTGATACAAATAAGGATGCACACCTACCAGCTACATTGTCTGGATGAGCACCCAGGTTAAAGTTTTTGGAGCAGGTTCATTGTAAAGTAACAACAAACCCAAACAATGACCAAACTTGCATAGATTAAACATCTAAGGATGCCATTTCCAGACTTGCTTTGGATACTGGATTTGATCAAAATCCATATTTGAGCAAGTATTCTAACCTTGTATATCTTTCATACATAAAATACTCTTATATTAAATTAAAGCACTTTAGAGTAGAAAAGGATTTATCAAGAGAAATTTCAGAAATGCAATTACCTAATCGGTAAATAATCAATGAAGAATATATTGACATGAAAATTTATTAACATAAAATTTTTAAATACCAAGAATAGCAGTAATTGCTTGATGGAAGGACTTATTTGATTGTTAGGAATAGAAAAATGATGTTACTTCTTTTTTTACCAGGCATAAATTTTTTGGAATTGATTCATGGAAAATAGCTTTTCAAGGACAGGGCAAGGTCATAAATTAGACATACTTTTTCATCTGATACAAAAATATGAAAAAAATGTTAAAATACCAAGTATTCAGCCCATATGTGTCTGTTATCCGTTCAATTTAATTGAGTTTTAGGCTATTATGGGTCAGATACCTATATGAAATTTAGCTGAACTTGTAATAAATGTTTGTAAAATATTGTTATTCAATTCATATTTGCAGTGACAAAGAAGATACACACATTCATATCCAAAAACCCAGATGTTTTAAAGGAATATCCTGATAAAGTAAAAGTCCACAAGATTCGTACTAAAGTGATTAATCTTAGGCGACAAAGTAGAAAGAAATACGAAGAAAACATGGGGACACTAACTCGATAATCAGACAGCAGAAAGTATCCAATTTGCTTACATTTTTGCCTTTACTATGTATTTTGGACATTGGAATAGGATGCTTAAGTGAAATGGAGTTCACTTACTCTACATGTATTTATATATAACAAAATTTTCCTCAAAGTAAATTGTTGGCTGTCAACTTAAAAAACATGAACACAATCATAATCCAGCCATGTAAAAACTTTTGCAGTATAGCCAACTAAAAAAGGCATGTCTTTACCCAGTTTCAGAATGAAGTGGCATTTAAATTTGCAGAAGCACACCAAACTTTTCAAACAATTTAAAAAGTAAGGATATTGTGACAATGGCATTTACAAAAATGATGGGCATTAATAATTTAGCAAAATGATGGCATAAAATAGTACCATGATGAAAAGCACATAAGCTAGAACCATGAGGATAGACGCAATTAGTATTAACAAACATGATGTCAGGAACATCAATTAGTACCATGATGACAGATGCATGAACTAGTACCATGATGACTGGAACATCACTAATACCATAATAACAGACACAGCAGTTTGTATCATCAATTAGTACCATGATGAGAGGCACATTAACTAAAACTATGATGGTAGTTACATCAACTAGTACAGACAGATCATCTAATAACATGATTACAGTCATATCTACTTGAACCATGCCATTACACATGATTTGACAGAGCCATCAACTAATACACTAATGACTGGGACATCATCTCATATCATAATAACAGACACATCAATTTGGATTGTGATAACAGACACATTGTCTTGTACCATGATTACAGGCACATCAACTAGTACCATGATGATGAGAGCATGAACTTGAATTATGCCATAACAAATGATCTAGTACCAAGATGACAGGGGCATCAACTAGTACTATGATAACAGACACATCAGCTAATACCATGATGACATGTTCTTCACTTGTACCATGATGACAGATGCATCAAGTATTACAGTAGTGAATGGGAACATCACCTTATACCACAATTACAGACATAGCAATTTGTATCATCATCTTCTACCATAACAGGCACATTAACTACAACTATGATGATAGTCGTATCAACTAGTGCCATGATGTCAGACACATCTACTTGAGCCATGGCATTACACATGATTTGACAGGGGTAACAGATGACACTTGCTTCAACTAGTACCAACATATCAGTGGCATTAACTAGTACCATGATAAGAGACATATCATCTTGTACCATGATAAAAGACACAACTACTTGAACCATGTCATTACATATGATTTGACAGGGGCATCAACTGATACTATGATGACGTGCTTCAACTAGTACCAAGATGTCAGTGGCATTAACTAGTACCATGATGACAGGGGCATCAACTAGTAACATGACGACAGGGGCATCAGCATATATCTTGACAGACACATCAACTAGTACCATGATGATGTGCATCAACTAGTTACATGATGACAGGGGCATTAAATAGAACAGTGATGACTTGAATCTTTAACCATAATGACAGACACATCTATTTTGATTGTGATAACAGACACATTGAATTGTACCATGTAACAGATTGTCAAATAGAACCATGCTGACAGGCACACCAACTAGTACCATGATGACAGAGACTTTAATACCATGATGACAGGCACATCAACCGGTACCATGATGATAGACACATTAACTAATACCATGATGACAGGCTCATCAACTAGTACCATGATGACAGAGACTTTAACTAATACCATGATGACAGGCACATCAACTAATACCATGATGACAGAGACTTTAATACCATGATGACAGGCACATCAACTAGTACCATGATGATACATTAACTAATATCATGATGACAGGCACATCAAGTAATACCATGATGATAGACACATAAATTAGTATTATGATACCAGGGATATCAACTAGTGCCATGGTGACAGGTGCAACAACTTGAACCATGATGATAGTTAAACCATCTAGTTCCATGATAACAGTCACATTAATTCCTACCATAATAATGGGGAAATCAACTAGTACATTGAAGACATGGGCATCAACTAGTTACATGATGACAGGAGCATCAAATAATACCATGATAGTCATTCTAACTAGTACCATGATGTCAGACACATCATCTAGTACTATGTTGTCAGGAGCATCAAATAATTCCATAATGAATGGAACACCATCTACAACATAATAACAGACACATCAATGTGTATCATGATTACAGGCACATCAACTAGTAGCATGGTGACAGGGGCATCAATTAGTACCATGATGAAAGTCATATCAACTAGTAGCATGATGAAAGTCACATCAACTTGTACCATGATGAAAGTCACATCAACTAGTAGCATGATGTCAGGGGCATCAACTAGTACCATGATGAAAGGCACATTAATTTCAACCATGATGAAAGTCACATCCACTAGTAACATGATGACAGCGACATCATCTATTACCATGATGACAGGGGCATCAACTTGAATTATGCAATTACACATGATCTAGTACCATGAAGAAAGTCACAACAACTCATACCATGATGACGTACATATTAACTAATAGCATAATGAAAGGGGTATCAACTAGTACCATGATGACAGGCACATTAATTACTACCATGATGACAGTCACATCCACTAGTACCATGAAGACAGGTGCATCAACTAGTACCATGATTATAGGGGCATAAAGTAGTACAGTGATGACTCGAATATCGATTAATATCATAATGACAGACACATCAATTTGAATTGTGATAACAGACACATTGAATTGTACCAAGTAACAGACACATCAAATAGAACCATGATTATAGGCACACCAAATATAGTAGCATGATGACAGATGCATCATTAAGTACCTTCATGAAAGGGTCACCAACTAGTACCATGATGAAAGGGGCTTCAACTTGAATAAAGCTATTTCACATGATCTTGTACCATAATGAAAGTCACATCAACTAGTACCATGATGACAGATGCATAAACTAATGCCATTATAACAGGGAAATCAACTAGTGCCATGATGACAGGAGCATCAACTGGTACCATAATGACAGACAAACCAAACAAATACCATGATGACAGACACATCAGCTAGTACCACGATGTCAGGAGCATGAACTAGTGCTATGATGACAGATGCATCATCTAGTGCCACGATGACAGACACATCAGCTAGTACCATGATGACAGATGCATTATCTAGTACCACGATGACAGACATATCAACTAGTACCATGATGTCAGGAGCATGAACTAGTGCTATGATGACAGATGCATCATCTAGTACCACGATGACAAACACATCAGCTAGTACCATGATGCTAGTCACATAATTTAGTACCAAGTAGACAATATTGCATCTTACTATTTATGAACATTTTTACAATCTTCAAACCTGAAAACATCATAAACAAAAATTGCATTCTTTTTTAATTCATTTTTTTCTTATTAGAAAACTTATCATCACTATATAAATCAGCAGACAGTTTAATTATCACAGTTACGAAATATATACAGTGGTTGCAACGGTATTGTTGACAACATACATGAACGATTATGATACAAGAACGATTCTGACCAACAAACGCAGGATTAGGCCCGTTACAGGAATGATTCTTTATACACACGATTCTACATGTTACATAAACTCCAGCGCGTGATTTTTCATGCGAATTAGCCAAAAATATTTGGGAATGTCCATTTTGAAAACGAATCAAGATGGAATAGTTATTTTTGATTGCAAATATTTATTTATGTAATTCATAGTTACCCAACTTATGAAAACTTTAAAATAATATTTGTTCAATATGTTAAGATGAAGTTTATGATCAATTACGGTTGTAATATTTCGACATATTATATCATATGGTAAAAAAGACTGTGAGCTTTGATTTTATTGGATTTGATGATGTGGAGTTTAAAGGGGATACATTGTAAGATTTAAAATAACAATGGAGTAATTATTAGTTCTTTGTTGATGAAAGTTGCATAGATGACACATATAAGGATGCACACTATTGGGCTTGCTTCGGTTGGATGAATCTGACCTACATTTTCCGGAGGAGTGACCAGGTTTAAGTTTTTGGAGCAGATTTATTCTAAAGTAACTGTAGGGCTTATTTTGACCAAACTTGCATGGATGTTACATTTAAGGATGAACATTACTGGACTTGCTTCGATGCTGGATCTGATCTACATTTTGCAGGTGAGTGACCTGGTTAAAGTTTTTGGAGCAGGTTCATTCTAAAGTTACTGTAACAATTTGCTGTACCTTGACCAAAGTTGCCTAAATGATTCATCTAAGAATTCCTAATTCCAGACTTGCTTCAGATGCTGGATTTGACCTATTTTTTCTACATGAGTGACCAGATTAATGTTTTTGATGCACGCCCGTTACCAAGGAACTATATTGCCTATCTGAACCAAACTTGTAAGGGTAGTGCATCAATGGATAAACAAGCTCAACCTTGCTTCAGATGTTGGATTTAAATAACATTTTCTGGATGAGTTGTGATATTCACTAATAGATTGTAAGTTATTGTGGGACTTTGCCTTACTTAAAGACAACATTTGTGGAGGTTAGCTCTGTAATCTCTGATTACCTATGTTTTTGTAAAGCTATTCCTTTCAGGAGTAAAAACAAAATTTAAAACAAACAGAAGAAATCTATTAAATTCTCAATGACTCTTTAATAAAATTAATAATTTCATGACTTAGAGAATAAAAAGGGGGGATATCTTGTGTCATCCACAATTATAATAGAACTTTTAGGTTTAAGCAGGGACTTTTAATCAAACAAAAATAAATAAACAACAATTTTGGATCGTCCGACAGACTGCATCTTGCATAATAAATAATAGAAAAAATAAATAATAACTATATTCTATTAAATAATTGGATTTCTTTCATTTCTGTATAAAAATAATTATAAAAAGACAAAAAGATTCGTTTTACAATTTACATTCCTGGAAAAAAACTGACAAAATTTGCATGGTTGTTACCTC